ACATCCAAATATGTATTGCATGTATGCATGTGACCTATTTATTTGGTCTATTCTGTGCCTCTTTAACATGTGTGTTACATACTATGTTTCTCTATGTATATTCCCTGTAGAGTGGAGATAATTTCATGTGGCCATGCTATGCTGAAATTATTGAACCTTGTATATTCACTGGCACTTGTGAAATTCCATTCAGCTCTGGAAGCACTTATTGAGTGTCTTCTGTCCTCATTTGATGATTCGGTAACAGTCGTATAAAGTCTTTATGCTCTTATATGCATACATGTTTAGCCTCCTCTCTTCCTAGATACACTCTTATCGACTGGTTTTCATGACGCTGCTCTCTCCTATATATCTGAGCGATCTATCTCAGTATTCTTTGTTGGATCATCATCCACGTAACAGCCACTAACTATGGGTGTCTCCTAAAGCTCTTCCCTGGGCCCTTTTCTCTGTGTAATTCCTCATTGGGTGATTTTATTAGTCCCCATAGGTTCTGTTATCAACTCCATGCAGATGACTCATAGAGTTATTTGTCTGACTTGAGTCTTTCTTCTGAACTCCAGGCCTGCATCACCAACTGCCTCCTGGGTGTTCCAAACTGTGGACGTTTAAGACTCAAGGTGCTCAAAACAGAATTCCTCCTCTCCTCCAAGTGCATCCTTCTTTTGAACTTCCCTATTATTGTTGAGGGTACCACCATCTTTCTGGTCACCCAGGTTTTGGGTCTCAGTGAAATCTTTAACTTCTCATTTCACTCACCCCCATAGGCAATCAGTTACAAAATCCTGGCTTTTCTTCTCAACAACATCTCTGATAACTGCCCCCTTTAACCCACTCATAGCACTACAATCTACTTCTGGCCTTCACTGCTTTTTGCCTAAATTATTAAAAGAGTTTCCCAATTGGTCTTCCTACCTCAAGTCTTTCCCCACTCTAAAACACCTTCCCCACAGCAACAAGGGTGATTTTCACAAATCACAAGCATATCTATCCTCCCTCTCAACAAATCCCAATGATCCTCTATTACTTTGAGGATCAAATATAAAATCTTCTGTTTGACATTTAGAGCTCTTCATAAGCTGGTTCTACTCCGACCTTTCAAGTCTTCTTACATATCATGCCCCTCAATGCAGTGTGCAATACAATCATCTTGGCTCCTTAGTGTTCCTCAAACAGGATGTTTTACTTCCTGTCCCCATGCCTTGCACTGGCTACCCCTCATGCCTTGGGTACACTCCTTCCCCACATCTGCCTCTTAGAATCTCTGATTTATTTCAAAACTCAGCTCAAGTGCCACCTTCTACATGAAGACTTTCCTGATTCCCCCACCCACAACTAGCATCTGGTGCCTTCCTTCCCAAAGCTACCTCATGTGTTCATTTTGTATAAAATCTGAATTTTTTTCATATGTACCCTCATTAGAAGATAAGTTTCTTGAGGACAGGGACTATTTCTGGTTTTTCTTTGTATCTCCAATGCTTATCACAGTTCCTGATACATAATAGACTTAAAAAATGCTTGCTGATTGGTCAATTGATTAATATTATATTCCAGGCACTGGACATAAAAGATTAAAACAAAATAATGCCTTTCCACAGAGTGCCTTCTCCTAGAAAAAAAAAATAGACATAGACAAGTAAATATGAAAAATATAAAGATTATATACAAAGTCATTTTGGCTTGGAGACCACTAACAACTGAATTTTGTGTGTGTGTGTGTGTGTGTGGTGTGTGTGTGTGTGTGTGTATACACACACATACATATATATACATATGTGTGTGTAGATATGTATATATGTATGTATATGTATATGGTGTATATATATATGTATATAATTATATAAAGTTTATTTTACAAATGTTACAAAAATGTCAGATGTTACAGAGAAATCAAGAAGAATGAGGAAGGTAGACAACAGATCCTTCATGAATTTAGTGGAACTTCACAAGAATAGGAGGTGGCATTTCAACTGTATTTTGACGGAAACTAGGAAATCTATAAGGTAAAGAGATAGAAAATTCCAGGCATGGGATGGAGATAAGGTAGAGAGTGGCAACTTTGTAAAGAAACAGAAGCAGAAGATGGGATATCATATAGGGCAAACACCAACCAAGTAGACCAGTTAGAATATAGAGTGCACTGGGAAAAAGGAGAGGAGTGGGAAGAAGAAGAGGCAGGAAGAATGTTTCAATCTGGAGAAATAAAGTGATGCCAAATTGTGAAGAGCTACAAATGCCAAAAGAAGGAGGTCTGTATTTTACCCCAGAGGCAACAAGGAGGTAGTATATGTAAGATGTGTAATTTATTTTTGTTTTTATAGTGGAGAAAATATCATAGGCATATCTGATAAGGAAAACCCTACCAAACCTCATCCTGGAGTGCAATCACTCATCTGTGGAGAACAAAGGCTTCATTTTCCATGAGTCTATATTCCCATGTTGTAGATATTGAATAGAGAGAAACAGAGGCTTGTGGGAAAGAGCAGGGGGGCTACAGAGGGAAAGGGGATTACAATAGCATTATCCAGGAATAGAGAAGCATTAGCAACAGAGATTTTAACCTTCTTGACAGATATGGAGCACCATTGTGAGAAGTGAAACAGGAAGAGTAGACATTATGGTTAATGTGAAACTGTGAATTGGTAATCTAAGCAAAAATCCTGGGGCTGCCTTCAGTGAGAACTCAAACCCCTTTTTATTTATACAGACACTTCCTAACATTTTTTTTCTATCAGTGAATAAGTATTTGGAGAAGAATAAGACTATATTCACTGAGAATGTGGGCAGTTCTTTTGTTTTCTATTGTTTTACTTCACATTTCTATCTTGAATTAATAATATTCTATTTCTAGACCTGTCAGTTGCCTTTGGTAAATAAGCAAGCCTACAACAAGATGGCTTAAGTAATAGCTAAGTTTAGAAGTTCTTACATTTCTCTTAAGTGCATACGAGAAGGATGAAAAGCTAGAAAGGTGATTTATTATAGAGAATTCCTACAATATGCAGGATAAAAGCCTTCATTCTCAGGAGCTCTTCCACTGAAGTAACTGGTCTCCTCCCTGAGACCCTTGTTCATCCATCACCCTTGCTAAAGCTTTCCTTTTGACTTGTCAAGTAGTTGACCTTGACTTGCTGGCCCAGTCCTGGTTTTTCCCTTTGGAAAGGAACCAACTGGTTCAGCTTACCTGATATAATGATCTGTACCAGCATAGTCATAGATAGATCATAGACAGGTAGGTAGATAGATAGATAGATAGATAGATAGATAGATAGATAGATAGATAGATAGATAGATAGATAGATATAGCTAGCCCTTCCTACTACCTTGAATCAACAACCCTAAAGCTCCTCCCAGAACAAATGATGGTCATACTCAGGACCCTTTCATTGAACTCTGCAAGATCCTCTAGACTTTTGAAATCCAGGATTACTAAAAAGACTCTCTAGAGCTACAGACATCAAAATTGCATGTGTACACACTCACACAAGTGGGTGCACACATGCCTGCGCACACACATGCACACAATGTCCTGCTATTCAGTAGCCTAACAAGATCATGAACAGGTGGAAGTAATAATGAGGCCAGGTTATTGGGAAGAGCAGTGAGCACATCTGTACCAGCTCATGCCTCATTACTCCAAAGACAATTCTATCCCAAAAAGCTGTTTGTTCTATGCTTGCTGTAGTGACTTTGGGTGCTGAATGATAAGGGCAAGAGGACAGACAGATGATTAAAATAACATGCTTCTTTAGCGGATACAAAAAAAATCTTTCCTTCTTGGAAACTTGGAATAAATCATACCTGAAGCTGAAATTGAATTTGCCATAGGGCAGATTGTAAAAATATGAAAAGCTCAGATATGTTCGAAGGAGTTGACAATCTCTCTACACCCTGAAAAGTTTTAGGAGTCATCACAGGGTCTTTTTCTATCAAGTGTACCTAAGGCATATTTTACCCTTGCCCAAGGATAATGGTATAGTTAATAGACTTACCGAATTTGGAGTCAGGCAAACCTAGGTCCAAATCCTATGTTTGCCAGCTAGTAGCTATATGATGTTGGGCAGATCACCTACCTCTCCGGGATTCAGTACCTTATATGTAAAATAAATGGATAAGATCAAAGGGCCTCTGAGCTTCCTTCTAGCTCTGAATCAATGATATTATAAACTGATTGACCCCATTTTCAGAAATACTAATTTACTCGATTTTTTTTTTTTTGCTGGAAATGTAAACAGATGGAACCTCCCATTTAAACTACTAGCATTTTGCTCAATTGACACCTAGATTCCATGGATTTGTGCATAAAAATATTAAGGAGCTCTACAGTATCATAGCCTATCCCTCTAAAACAAGGGGTCCTAGAATATCTGATAACCTGGGATCCAGGGATATGTGTGAACTTGAAAGAGGAAAAAATTATATCTTTGTTTTTACTAACCTCTAAATGAAATTTAACCTTTCTTTCCATTTAAAAAGGAAAAAAAAAAACATTGTGCTGAAAAGGGGCTTCCCCAGACTTCCAAATAAGTCCATGACACACAAAAATATTAAGAACTCTTCTCTAAAGGCCTAACCATACCACAGCAGCAGGCTCCCAAACGTTTGGCAAAGGTCTGGAGCCACCCCATCTTAAGTGGATGGTTGGGCAGGTGGCCTTTAAATGTCAGTAATCCCATTTCATCCCTTCCACACTAGAATGCTGTGTTGCAAGGGAAGGTAACTATCCCCTCTTAGAAAAATCAAAGTCTTAAATACGGGAGGTCATTTAATGAAGCAAGGATTTTTCCCCCAACTGCTTGCACAAGGAAGATTTTCACCTGGACAATTTTTAGGGGAACTGCAGATCCCAAAAAGTTGATTCAACACCCCTTGCTTCCTCCTAGAAGCATGTGCAGGCAAGCTGGGCTGGAATGTGTGATGTTAACTGTGGAATGCCCAGGTTAGATCAGAAACACAGCCACTGTCACTCAGGGTGAGCATAATCAAGATTGAAATCGCACCTCTTGGTTCAGCATAGGCCTGCAGTCGGAGTTTCTGTGGGTGAGCTGCAAGGGTGCTATGTGGCTTGTCATATTTAATAACTTTCTCTTCTGAAGTCTGATATGCTGAAAGATCTGTACTGCTGATGTTAAAAGCTGGATTTCCTATGCCTTCTGTGGTTGCTCCATCTTCTTTTGCTGTAGAAAACAAGGAGGTCAGAAGAGCACATTTTACCAAAGTGTATTCCAATGACAAGCAGAAAATTCCTTCTAGTAATTCCTTTGCTCAAAGACTCAAGTGTATCGTCCTCAAATGTCGCCAAAACAGAATTAGGTTAAAATTAACTCTTAAAAAAAGAATAAATGATTAAAATAATTACAAATTGCACCCTGACAAGCAAGAGCAAAATTTCGCCTACAGCCATTTGTCTGTAATTAGTTAATTAATCCTTACACAAATTATGAGCAATAACTCATCAAGCAAGGCTCACCCATCAGAAATTCAGCTGACTTGGATTTCTTCTGCTTAGTTTGCTTCAGAGCCTTCTGCTGGAACTTCTGGAGGGAAATTGTTAAATGAATAAATTAGCTAAAGAATGAAGATCATCATTTATGATCCACAACTAACACAGTATTTTAAATATGGGATGGCATTGAAATGTCATTTAATTTGTAGCTCTCCTAAAGGGGTCAACCACTAATTGAACAACAGCAGTGGAAGAATTAAATAAAATGGGATAAGAAAAGTTAATATAAATGCCAAACGAAGGTCACAGTAAAATACTTGTGGGTTTTTTTTTTTATCAATTTTAATTACTGCGAAGAACCCTTAACAAATGAAGAGCATTGGAAAACTTGCATTTAAGTGGAGTATTTGGTAGAACTAGGCTACTATTCTGTTTCTTTGGGGTAGGCTAGATGCGCCAAGTCAAAAACTTTTTATTATTCTACATTTAACCCTCTCTTCCATAATCTTCAGGATTTTATTATGATACTATTATGGCAATCCAAGCTACTAAAGAGCAAAGCATATGTCTTCATATACAACCACAAGTTTAGGAAAAGGACAAAAATAATGTACAGTGCTAGAAGTCGCATGCTATAATGGAAATTACAATGAGTTCATGAGATGCCACATCAGATATTACATGTCACCAAAACCCAGGATTCATTACATTGCTAGAAAACCCATTAATATTAAAATGCATAAAAAATGGTCAAAATGAAAATGAATAGCAAGAAATATTACTAGATTTCTCATACTCTTACATATTCCAAATGGGATACTGGGTAACTGTCAAACTCAAAAATCTGCAGTAGAAACTCTCTAATTCAATATGAGTAATAATTCTTATGATAACACAAGGCGCTAGAGTGAGAGAGAAGGAAAAAAAGACACACAATTCATGCTCCTGCAAAGTGGTCACCAATATGCAAAAGATGGATCCATTTGAGGTTATGTCGTTGATTTGATAAAAGTTAAAAACAGAATTCTGAATATCTGGAAAAATGATTTTATCTATACTTTAACATAAACAGAAAATATTTTGATATGTAGAGCAAATCTTTTAATAGAGCTACCAAAACTTCTAATAATTCATTTTTCATTCAGAAGTTCACAATTAATTACCAACTTTTTAGAAAAAAAATATATCTTTCTTTCAATTACATTCATTTCTACAGGATATACTTAAGACTGAACTGATGAATCTGTCATGTAAGTAGTTAGACTAATTAGGTCTATTTTCCTTAGAACTTTTTGATTAACAATATTGAAGAAAGAACAAGTAACATTCCATGTACAATGAAAACAATTTAATACCATTAAAATCATTACAAATGATAAATTTCTGATTGAATAAATTAAAGCTGAATGAAAAAATATTAAAATATTTTTCATTTTTTAAAAATGATAGCCTAAAATCTATCTAAAATCAAGAGAAATTCAGATAAATTTCAGAGATTTTCTTCAAAAGAGAATGGATATGTCAAACCATTGGGGGGAAAGTTCAATATTTAGAAATGCTTAAAAGTTTTATTTAATGAAACAATTCTGATGTTTAATTTTGAAATATATATTGAGTTGAAAAAGCACTCTGTTTGATGTCCCAATATATAATGGGTAAAAGCTTTTATGAAATCTAAGTGATTCTTCCACAGTTTGCAGCATGCTCCAAAATACGACATCATACCATAGAACTACATATCTTAGCTTAGTAAATATATGCTGTAAGCAGTAATTGGAAAGAAATGCCAGCATACCAATTCACCAGTTCCCTCAATTTTCAAGATTAAAAAAAAAAACAGCAGGCTGTATTCATTGAGGCCTATGATTGTGAAATTTTCCACGCAATACTCTACAACTTCATCAACTGTTCCTACATTTTACAAAAATAGTAGATGAAGTCTGATTGTGTTCTCAAAGTCTTCAACTGAGGTAGCAGCTGATATTTGATTTCCTCACATGGCTCAGTAGCTTGGTACTTTTTCTGTTTTCAGCTTCTGATATATGTTTAAAAATAGCTTGATGCAACACATTAATAGATAACACTTTCTAGTAAAGAACTTCAAAGGAAATTAGACATTAGTCCACTGATGCAATGAGGGTCTCCCAGATATTTTCATAAGTTCACATATTTACAATGAAAGCAATATGTGGTTTTCAGAGATAGGTTCTTCTGAAAGACAACAAGATAATGGTGCAATTTTTATTTGTGGCCTAGGTACAAGTTCTATCACTTTTTGCTTCAGAAGAAATTGAAAGCTATTTCCCACTCCTACCCTTTTGCCAATTTCCTCACTCTTTTCTCTCCTTTACACATGGGCACCTTTAAACAGTGTAAATTGCATTGTGCCCCCCTCCTCATTTTAGTTTTCTCTTTCCTGATGAAGTTTTCACTTCTTAGAATTCCGGAACAAAATTATCCTCACTTACATTTTATATGCATTTCCTCATTAGTCACCAGTAGTTAAGTTCATGTATTTATGCAAATTTATGTCTAAAGTAATTGTTCTTTAATAAGTTCGCATGAATCTACAATATCTAAACTAAAACCTGAATTAAAGAAAAAGCTGCTGGTCACTATCTGCTTTATTCTTCCAAACCTATGTTTTAGTATCAACCATACCCATCCACTCTCCATCATCATCATCATCACTATCATCATCATCATCATCATCTTCAATAGCAAAATAATTATTTTATGCACTTGTGCAAGTACTCTGTAGAATATTGAATATAAAGGAATAGTAGCAAGGTAGTGATGTTTCAGGTCTGACTCCCATCAAAAAAATGAGAAGAATGATATAACAATAATCTCCAAACTACTTGGGATGAGAAGCCTTCAAAATATAGAGAACAGCTGAAGAAATCAAAATCATGTGGGAAGAAAATGAATTTCATATCATGCTATCTGCTATTGGAATTGTCCTGAGGATGATTTCAATAAGCCTATGGGAAGATGAGCTTATGCATCCCAATATTTTAATTCAATTACAAAAGAGTAATTTTATTCACTTGTACCATAGTTCACAGAACATTAAATATATAGGAATAAGGCCAATATAGTGCTTTGTCATAGAGCTATTTCTATCTGAACTCCATTGAAAAAGATAAGGAAGTAAAACAACAACAATAACAATGATAATAATAAATGTCAGAAATCTTCAGCAAATTTACTGGGAATAAGCCAAAGCTGATAAAATGTGGCCCTGATTTATTTCAAGTGATATGCTGCTTCTCCTAGTACTTTCTGTCCTTTGGAGAAACTAAAATATTGAAGGGAAAAAAAAGGTCCTTTTTGCCATTCTCTCTTGTTAATGTGAGCATTATGTTGTAGACGGAAGACAGTTGATAACTATTGATACAAACACAGTGGAGAACAAATTTTCCCAAAACGTTAACAATGTTTTGGCTTTTCAGTGATATGTCTTGCTTCCTTGCCATTTAAAAAGCAGCAAACCTTTTATGATTCTGACTCTTCCATCTAGAAATAAAATCTATGGGAGAACAGCAAGCATAAACCACACACACTCACACACACAAACCTCATTTATAACCAGTGACAACCCAAACCGATGAAGTTTTTAAAAGAATGTGATTGTTGTCAGAAGGAATTGGGCACAACAATGCCGAGTTTATCTCTGGATCCACTCAAAGTCCGGGCTGAGGGGCTCTGGGAGCGCTGCTGCAAGGCTGGTGGGCACAGACCAGCAAGAAAGTGAATTTTGCATACTGTACGGATCATCGCTCAGTTCAGGGCAGTCAGATTGAATCTGTGATCAACCAATTGTGCTTCATGAAACCGTCAGCCCTCATTTGTGTCTAGCTGTTTTGCTCTGCCCAGCTGTAAACAAGCTCTGCTCTGAGCTGTCTCCCTCCCCTTATCTGCTCCCAGAGATCACACAGATAGAGCTCATCAGCTGCTATAGAGTTAAAATTAAAGTTACCGCTTCCAGACAGCAGTTCCCGTGCAAGCAGGAAGTCAAAAAGAAGAGCAACTTCGGAATGACACAATTTAAGTCCCTTTTACGGAAGGCATACCTCAGATTCATACATATCCTGGCGTGGCATGTCTCTTCCACGAAATTAGATTAGGTGCTCCTAATGGAAACAACTGTTCTGAACATCAGCAAACTAGCTCGGCAGCCTTGTCTTCTGTCCATGCTTTCTTTGCTTTGTAGGGCATTTTGTGCAGATGTGTTTGTGTCTGTGTGTGGCGGTGGTGATGGTGGTGGCAAAGTTTTCCTCTTTGGGGGCTTGGCTTGAATATAGCCAAAAGAAAAGCTGGAAATATTGTCAGTCTGGTCTGAGTCCAAGAAAACTAATAGTTCCATGAAATGCTCTAAGGAGCATAATGAGGGTAAACAGAGACAGGTATTCTGGCTTCTGTCCTCATCCACTCCGGCAAGGAAGGCATTTGCAGTAAACATAATGGAGAGCCTGGATTTGAATGGGCAAAATATCCTAAGGAAAATAAAATCTCACAGAGACTATTTTTTCCTCCTCAAATGGCATAAAAGTATTATTTGGTATTCACCACATTTAATTCTCCTAACCAGCTGGTATGTCCCTGTTAAGACTTTCATTTATGCAGCTGAAGTTGGATCCTTTTCTGTTCTCCCAGTCTATTACTTTGACTATTTAAGGGATAGCAGCCAAAATGAAACAGCTTGTAATTTGCACCTGTCTGCTTTAAGCATTCCATGGTAGATTATGTGGAGAGCAAACCCTTCCTGCTAATGAGAATGACACTTGGTAGGGTCGAATGCAGTTGAGTTGCACAGTTGTGTTATAGTTGGCTTTTGCAAGGGGGGTTGGGGGGGGACGGGAGACAAAAGTATTGTTTGGGTTGGAGGAGGGGCATTGTAATTGACTTGATAGCAACCTAAAAAGTAATTAAGTACACATTTCTTTTAGATAGACATTAGATGATGAATCTAAGAACAGAATTAAATTATGTGAAATTTAAATTATTGAATTGCTCCAAGGATCTCTGAATGATGCTATGTAGCCAAGAAGTGAATTAAAATAAGTTATGAAATGCCACAGATGAAAAAGGAAAACAAATACCCCAAATCATTTCCAAGCCCTCCAAGTGCAATCTTATTTATGGGGAGTCTCTCCTTGTGGTGAAATTTTCCCATAGGGAAAGGCAAAAAGAAGTTTACATTATTTGCATTTCAGAAAACAGACTCAAGACTTTGGAACAGAGGGAAATAACTGAATGTGAACCAAAAGGGTGGGTAGATGGCCTTTGAACAAATTCTTAATGAAGTACATTTAAGTAAAGTTTAAACTAATGCCTCCAGAAGTTATTTTAAAAAAATCAAACATATCCCATTTACCTTCATATGAGTCATGAATAAATTCTCTATGACTGCCACAATGGCTCTGATGCTCACTAACCCTCCATTACAAGGGCACTGTACTCTTCCTTTCTTTTTCTTTTCTTTTCTTTTCTTTTCTTTTCTTTTCTTTTCTTTTCTTTTCTTTTCTTTCTTTTCTTTTCTTTTCTTTTCTTTTCCTTAAAGGATAAATACTAAATACTAATAAACAGTGGCAAAAATTTAAATCCCCATGCCAGTAAGATAAAGGATCTAGCTGAAATGGAGTAAAACTCATTTCTGATATTTTCCCGATCTTTCTTTCCCTTTTAAAAAGAAAGAAAAACAAACAAATGAAAAAAACAACTCTCAACAACTTGCCAGGACCACAAGTTTTTAGGACTGCAGCAAAGGGCAATGCAAATTAAAACAAACCCCAAGGGGCAATCAGCGAAGTAAAATACTGCTGATGCGTGAGGAGCCCCTAAATCGCTCAGGCTGGCACTTCCTGTTGAAACAATCCCCAATATCAATGATGGGTTAAATAAAGTTGAAGTGGTCGAGGCCGTGGTCTCACTAGTAATTAATGGAGTTTAATATGGCTGTTGGCACACATCTTGCATGACAGATAATGTTCCAACATGTCAGTGATAGGACCTTTCAGCACAGCTTCAGGGGCTCCACCAGGCCCTGCCGAGGTTGGTTAGGTCAAAGGGTTGAACCATGTGTAATTCAGAACTGAGGAGGTCCCACGGTCACTCCACAAAAACAATTACGCTACTTATTCCACTCTATCCCTTGTCTGAAACTCACAAGCCTCACAGTTTCAGTGCAGTCAATCTCATTCTGCCCCTGGGCTATAAGCCACATGAAAATATGTGGTGCTGTGTTTATAAATCTAATCAAAAATAGAAACAGTAGACAGGCACTGTGAGGTCCTACTATGGATCCTGGGAATTCTCTAAAATTCTGAAGGCACTTTTGTTTAACTTCTATAGACCCTCTTCTGCTACTACATTGTCTGCTATACTCGTTAATCATCCCCTTTACTTGTCAATGCTACAAAGGAGGCTACATTTCTGCTCACTTCTGAACAGCCTCTTTATGAATAATATTATGAAAAACAAAGACTATAAGATTGCTTTCAAAAAAAGTTGGTCAATACTACATTTATCTTCCCTTTCTATCTATATCCCTGGATCCTTGCTTTTAGATTTAAAGATTTAAATTAAGCCCACCTAAGAAAGAAAAATAAAATGCCATGTTAACTTGACTAAAATTGTCCCAACCGAAATATGTACTAAGCGGTTTCTGGTTGCAGACAGCTGCTCACACAGGCCCTCAACAGTCCTGAGAAAACCAGGCAGTAAAACAAACAGGAATTGGCACTTTTTCTTTCCCGCATCAGCTTCTAAATAAGTCAAGATCTACTGCACATATACAAAATGTAGTATAATGGGTATTCTTTAGGGAATAGCTCTGGACTCTGGGTGGACAACTTCAATTCTCTCTTATCCATTAAGATGATCCTGTCAAATCATCTTAAAGTAACAATGAAGAGTGAGTGGCGATATATTTATCATGAAGAAAAAAAAGAGACCTTGACATTAAGAGTCATGACTTTTCATAAAATTGTAAGATTTCCATTAGGCTTTACTTCTACAATCCTTCCAAAAGAAAACTTCTGGTTAAGTCAATGTTAAGTGCACACATAGAAGTATCAAACAGGATAATATCCTGAGATAGCATTACCCAGTCAACACACAAAATGGGATGCCTTATGGCATCATATGTCCAAACGAATTCTAAAATTTGTTTTGACTTGTACATAAACTAAACCAATATGGGATTTACCACTCAATAAACACATGAGATCAATCACTTCATGATTAAATTTTACATGATTACAGTGATTTTAAAAAACAGACCAAAAAGCATATGTGTATGGGGGCAGAAGAGGATGAGAGGGAGTGAGGGGAGTTAAGAATAAATAGAAACAAACAAAAGAAATGAACAATGAACAATAATGCTAACATTACTTAGATGCTGTAAAAATTTGTTTTTTTAAAATTCTTATAATATGTGCTTCTGAAAATAGCTGTTAAAATATTCCAAAAGCTTAGAATCAAAGGAGCTATATACTATAAGTGGGGTACATTGTAAACAACATATAGGATCTTTTCTATCCATATTAATCGGCCATATCTAAAACAAACTCTTCTACAGATTTATATTGTCTCAACTAAAAACTAAAACAGAAAAAAAATTGTTGACTTTTCTATTGTTGGATCTATCTTTTATTTGGAAAAAAGAATTATTTAGAAGATAGAGTAAAGGAAAGCAAAGAGGTGTGAAATTTTGATAGAATATTAAAGTAAAATGTGTTCCACCAAAATGAATAGATGCTAGGCTATTAGCAGGAAGTTGAGTCTAACCACTTATTTTCTCTCCATGTCACAATATCTGAAGAGTGATCTCAAAATTAGGTAGAAATATGTTATATATTGGTCTGTTATGGTTTTGTCTCCTACCCCCTCAGTGTAGAGCTAGATATGACAGTGCATATCAGCACTCCATTACACTGTAATATGTAAAGTTTGCTCATATCATTTTCTCCATAAATTCACCTTGTAGACTCATAATTTGATACAGCTGCAAGAGTAAACTGTCACTTTTAAAATGAATGGGTTGCTCAGAAAACTTTCAGATATTGAATATCTTTTCAAAGAATATTGCCTTTTTTTTTTTTGCAAAACAAAACAAGATCTTCATTAACTAAACTAAGCATTTTATACAAATGCCAATGTTAATAATTTCAAATTAGCACAGTCAATGGAAAGTAATCATGCAAAACTTAGCAGGTCTGTGAAATTCTAATATAAGGTAAATCTGGTCAGTTACATAAAAACCCTTTATTTATTTCAACGAGTGGGAAAAGTATAAATTGGCTCCAGGTTTTAACAGAGGGAGTGGAGAACAAAACTAAATAGCCAATGGCATTTCTTCATCACTCCCCATCCTCCAGTATGAAGGAATCCAAGGAACTGGCTGGAGGGTAGAGGGGAAATCAAGGAACACAATCTATTTTCCCTCATATAGACAGCTCCAATTATATACCCAGGTTGGTCCTTTCTTCTTCAAATAAAATTCATGCATTCAAGAAGGCTGGAAAATGAGTGGAAGTTTTCATAGTAGACAAAATTGAGTGAGTTCTATGGTTTTTTTCCCCTTTAGTTCTGATTCTTCTTTCACAACGTGACTAAAATGGAAATATGCTTAATATGATCATTCATGTATGGCCAATATCAGATTGCATGTTGTATTGAAGAAGGAGGAGTGGAGGGAGTGGAGGAAATTTAGAATTCAAAATCTTATAAAAGTGAATGTTGAAAACTAAAAATTAATTAATTAATTAATTTAAAAAAATTAAATGAGCTCTCACATAATCTCAAATGAAGTACTTTTCTTTGAGTTACTAGCTAACTTGGCAGCATGGAATAGAGACTATTAGCTTTAAATAAATATCACCAATAATGACAAGCCATGATTGGATATGGAGTTGTATGGAAAAGGCATAAAAAAATATGACCATTAGTACAATATTTCTTTACATCCTTTCTGGCTCTCTTTTCTCCCACAGATTAATATATCTTGGATATTCACAATGCTTATGATTAGTTGTATTTGATTTCTCCCCATTCCCATCCCAGGGAAAATCTAGGTAAGTGGAAATTCTCTGTGATTATGCCTAACTTGGAAAATGTAGTCAGACAAGATTTTGATTGTGGTTAGAAAGCATTTTGGTAAGG